AGTGAAGATAGTAAAAACAAGCAATTTTATGACACACTTTTTTCGATGACATCCAATAAATACGTAACCGATAAGAACCGACTGTACAGAATATTTTGACTCAAGAAAAATTCTTTTATTATATAGAAAGTGGTTGCTTCAAGTTTTCAACTTAACATAATATCGAATTCTTTTATTATATAGAAAGTGGTTGCTTCAAGTTTTCAACTTAACACAAGATCTAAATTTATTGTTCTAATTTAGAGCCCTTTTTTACGTCTCTAGAACCATGGCATTATCAAGAAAATTTTATATTCGTTTACGAACACTCAAAATCACGGGATTATCGAGAAAATTTTATTTTTCTTTACCAACACTTAGTAGTACTATATTTATTTTAAGTACTTAATAGGCCTTATGCCGTTCATTATTATTTCTATGTTTTTCTAAATACATTCACAATGGTATTAAAGTAATGATCAAACTTATACAGATTAAGGAAAATTGCGTGGTCAACGGCGACCACTGTGTATATACGCCTTTAGGCCGATAGGAGCATACCTGCCGTGTCTATATATTGTGTTCCGTGAGTTTTCTCATGGTGATTTATCTCGGCTTCGGAAATGGCGATTTCTTCCAAATATGCTAACATAATCGTTCTCCTATGTTGTAATAACATCTGGTTGTACATAAGGAGTTTTAAAAATTGCCGCATTATCCTTTTTGTCTGTATCAGTGACGTTTTCTCATTTCAGAGCAAACTGCTATGACCCTTAACTTCCCTGGCGGCAACAATGTTGCTTTCTCGACGATTGCGCTTAGCCCTGTTGATGTAAGTTGAATCATATGAGACGTGCAATTTATTGATAAATACGTGTGTAAACTAACAAACAACTTTCTTTTCAGTACGTTGAGATTGACGGTCAGAAGATTCCCAAGGCCCCAGCAGGCAAACACTGTGAGCCAAACACAGACTGCTGGCAAGAGGTCAAAAGTAAGAAATCAACGTTCCATTATATCTTTCCAATTGTTTAAATAAATGTTAAACATACGCTTGATCATGCGTGATAATTAAGAAATTATCAAAAGCATTCCACAAGAAGTTAGAAGTTATGCGCCTCAAAGTACCTTTCCGTAGCTCCTGCTCACGTGCATTTGCATTTAATTTTATAACAATCTCTCGAGTGCCAGCTTGTTTAACTAACTAACTTTCACTTTAGATACCAATTATTTCACCGTTTCGGGATCCCTGAAAGGACCGCACGCGTCAATATCTGTACAACCTGCCGCGAAGTTAGGCGGAAATCCATACATCTTTGTGTTCAAGAGGCCTGACGCTCCCAGTAAGTCGAGAACCGTATTCCCTTTTAGCCGCTTGCTCCCACTTCCTCAATAATGAACGTTATTTTTCTGTTGTCTATGCTGAAGTCTACTGTATTTGACAAGAAGAAGAAGACTCGATCGCTGATTCCTGGGACACGGATGTTCGCTTATATTGGCAATCTACTGTATTTTTTTATAATTATTCCATATGCAATACTATGTGCGCTGCATGCACAATGCCTACGTCTGTAAAAGTTTGATCAAATCTCGCATACCGCTGGGAGCGCATTTGCGAAAACTTTAATCAAAATGTTTTACATACATAAGCATAAGTGTATAAATATTGAAAAAGTATCGTTCACTAAATTCTGAAATACTTTCGAGCCTTTTCAGGGTCTTCATGGGTTTATCCATCATTTGAGTTTCCTGTGACGTTTACATCAAGGCCTTTAAAACAAGATAAACGTTAAAAGCATTTACCGAAACAAATGAGCTTTTTGATGTAAATTCTTATGGAGATGGTCATGGGGACCATATTTGAGTATGCTTAAGAAGAGCAAGCTAAGTTGTAGAGCAAAAAGAACGTTCGCAGCATTAATCTGATATTGTTATTCTTAGTTCAAAAACACCTTCTTCAAAAGGTTACCTTTTTGGAAACCGCTTTACTTGGACACTTAGCTTACGAACATCCCTGTATATTAACTTCGTCCAAGGTACCAACGAAGTAAAAAACACATCTTTGGCAATTTACTTAACGTCCCTGTGGATAAATTATCAAAATTAACTGTTACTGAAATAATTATTTTTTCTCCTCAAATTACATTATTTTTCGCCGTAGCGCATTTTGTCGGGGCTCTGTTCCAAGTCTGGGTATGAGCATATCTATACTCATATACTTCCACAATGGTTACTCGTCTGTGCGTTCCGCTCGCAAATGACGCATTGGCGGAAGGAAAGTGTACAAAGAAGTATATTTCACATAAAGTACAATTAAATAGGCCTCTTTTACATTACATTCGCAGTAACATATCTGGACACTCTGATTATGGGCCATATAGGAGATTTGGTAAAAGAGCATGAGACCAGAACTACCTGTTACTGCATTTTGAGGGAAGGAACTGCCACGCTCAAATAAATATAATTTTTGAAGCATAAATCATTCCTTTCTTCTCCAACTTAATGTGATTCCTTAATCCTGGCCTCATTTGCATTTTAAAGAACTCGGACAAAATTCTTCAGTTCTGCAGGAGATATCGTTCACATAACTTCTGACTTATTTTGGAATTATGTCGTAGAATATTTCATATTAATAAAAACGTGTTGTTCTCTCCTACTCAACAGCATACGAAATTCCTTCAAAATATGAAGACTGGCAATTTTGCCAAAATTATGCATATTACCCTGCAAAAACTTGATTAAACCAGGGCGATTTTCCTAACTGAAAGGCATACGCAGGATTTAATTTACTCAGAAGATCAAAATAACGGCCCCATATGTATTGAAATTCCAGCTTATTTCCGTCATGACATTTGCATGCAACAGTCTTCATAGCGCAAATTAAAACGAAATTTTTGATATTTATCACTGTTGTAAAATGAATCATTTAAACTTCACTATTTGACCTTTTGTAGCCCCGACGTTCCCAAATGACGTAAAGCCTTACTACGTGCAGATCGTCCCTGAAAATGAGAAGATCGAAAGTCAAGTAGTATTTATGACCGAACCGGGGGTAAGTACTGACTTGCAGACTGCCTTCTGTTTCACAATTTTTCCCACTGTGAGAGTACTTGGAGAGTACTTTGAGACTGAAACTTGATTAAGTATACGTAGATGTTAAGCGGAGCCATGTACCCTGTTTGTCCGCGCATATGAGAAGAGAGAGGGAGAAAAATCCTGAACATTAACTAAAATTCTAATTTTTGAACACGTCTAGCTTGATTTTGGGAAGGTAATGCATCAAAAATACCACCACAATTACTGCAGTCAAGCAAAGGAACAAAGTTTTCGAGACCTCTTTCAACATTTTAGAAAGTTACCTGGACTGGACCTTTGGACGCACAAAAGGGAGACAAGAATATGCTTAGTTTGATGGGCATGACTGGTATGTGGGTCCTGCTAAACTTCAAAATAGAAGCCTGATTTTACTGTTTTTAATGCTGCAAATAGCGTTGTCTTCTATGCTATTGACTAATCGCATTTATCGCTGTATTTGCACCATTGAAGGAATGGACAAGCAGGACCGTGTCTTCTTCACTGGACGCGTGGTAAACAAAGAACGAAAAATGATGATCAAGTTTAAAGATGGGAAAACACAGACTGTGACCATGGCACCAAGTTCTTCGCCTGTCAAGACATCGGTGCTATTCATTGATAACACTAAACCTGCAAAGGGAGTCAAACCTACCGGTGGTAAGTCTACATTTTAATTTGTATCATGCGCACTGTAGGTTGTACATCTGTTGTGGTATCGACAGGAATGTTTATGTCGGGCGTAGTCAGTGCGCGCGGCTTGTCCCCAACTATTGGAGGAGTAAATTAAGTACCATAAGTAAATCAAACTTTGGCATGTTGACAAAACACTATTTGTTAACATACAAATAGTGTGTCACAAAAAAGCGGAAAGTACAGTAGACGCCGTTGATCATGCAATATTTCGACATATGCGAAAGA